TCTGTGAGTTTGGACTGTCATTCGACTGTATCACTAAGCGGAAGTGAATAAGGTAGGCCTCAGAGGGCTGTGCCTGGACACCTCAGTCACGTGCTTGTCAAGCAGGCTGCACAGGCAGGAGAGGGTTAACCAGGAGGGGATAAACTCAAGCTGCCACCAAGTCGGGGCCAGCTGCATCCTGCTACAGCAGGCCCTAGAATGATTAAAACTTGTCAGGTTTCTGCTCCCTTTCTCTAACAACCATAAACACCTTTTGGGGGCTCTGTCTGCTGGGATTCAACACCTGTGTGAAGCTAAAAAAAAAAAAAAAATACTGTGATGCCCAGGGATTCTCGCCACAAAGGCAACCTCTTAGGAAGCTGGAATGTTTTGTTTTTAGTTTTGGCGTCATAGAGGCCACACAGAAGAGTTCTCCCTATTATCTCTCAGGTTGGCAAGGGGAACGTTTCATCAGGATTAAAGGGCGAAGACAGAAGGGAACATTCCTTTTTTTCCTTGTGCTGCCAGCCCTGGGACCAAAAGCAGTCAGAGGCCTTTGTGATACGTTCTGAGAGTCCCACAGCTTCAGGGTTGTGCCCTCTCTAGCTTACCACTTCCTGAAGAATTGCTCCCCACCCTACCCCAGGCCACTTGGCCACCAAGGAGGGAAGCCTGAAGGTAGGAAGCTGGATGCTGCAACCTTCTGGCAAGGTGAGCAGACTGGAGCAAGCAGAGTGGCATGATAACCACTTAACCAGACTCCGAGTCCATCTCCCCCAAATGGCGAGGCTGGATGTCAGCCTGGAGAAGCCAGGTGGCCCAAAGCCACCTAGTGCAGAGGCGGCAGCCCTGCCGGCACAGCCAGATGGCAGCCGGTTCTCTGCAGACTCGGGTCAGGCCTTCCTAGCTGGAGGGCAATGCCAACAGGATTTGAGGAGCTCTACCTTTTGTGTATCCCCCGACACATCAACCTGAAGGAAACTCACTCTATTTTCAGGTGTCTGGGGGCTGTCAAGAGTGACAGTTATTTTCCCTGAGGTGGAAGGCCAGGGGAAGTGTGGACCCCTGAGGGAGCTGCTGGGATCCTTTCCTGTCTTGGAAATAAGTCAAGATTCAGGCAGTCGCTCTCTGCCGTTGAGCTGGCCTTCCTCAAAAAGGGTCAAACACTGACAACAAACATCTCTCCGGTTGCAGTAACTGCTCCTTGGTACACGTGCTTGCCCTCCGCTGGACACAAAGCCACAACCGAGCCAACATTTGAGTCCACTTGAGTGTTTGGCTTTGCATAGGGAAAACGGCCACACAACTGTCTGAATTATAGACTTTTAATCTGTTTCCTCGGCCACATCATGAGAAAAGACGAATTTGTACATGAGCCTGACAAACTGGTGGAGAGAGCCTGCCCAGGTGTAGAGAAAACTTGATACTGGGCTTAAAGTAAAACAAGGGTTATTTGAAACCACTTTTCTTGAGTTAAAAAATAGATTAATGTTTACCTATGCCTAGAATGAGTTAACAGATACTGAATTAGAAAAACAATGACATGAAGTTTAATGTTTTGACTGAGACTTAAAAACAGGAGAATGGGTTTGTTATTCAAATATTGAACTCTGATTTTAATTCAATCAAAGGATTTTACAAGTTGCCTCCTTACAGTTTAATCTTCTAAACGGGCAGAATCGCATGTTTGAGTTGCTGCCTGCCAGTCTGCGTTTAGGCTGCTTTTGACCTCAGATGTACCCTCTTCTGAATGGATTCATTCGGTTCTTGGCCCCTCAGTGTGAGATGCTGTGAGCGGTTCCTAGAGGCCCCTTCACTGGCTGAGGCCCAAGCCAAAATGGCAGTTGTGGCACGGATGGGGCTCAGGGTGCAGGCTTGGGGATCCCTGGGGCTTCCCTGTGAGGTCCCTTTTCGGTCCCCTGGCCCCAGTCTTACCTGTCTTTCAGTCCCAATGCTCAAATGGTGGTCCGTAGACCAGCGGTATAGCATTACCTTGAGCTTGTTGGAAATTCTGAATCCTGGACTCCATCTCAAACCTTTAGGATTAGGATTTTTATTTTCACAAGAGAATCGGGGGATTTGTATGCACATTAGAGTGTTAGGGTCACCACCCTAAGAGAAGACCTACCACACAGCCGAGTAGACATGCCGACCAGCCCCTCTGCCTGAGGACCACCTCTCCAGCCTCATCCCCTGCCTCTCCCCAAGCTCTCTACTCTCAATGGCGAAGGCTGAGTTCAAACTCTGGCTCTGCCACTGACTAGTCATATGATTCTAGGCAGGTCGTCTGACTTCTATGAGCCTCAGTTTACTCATCTGTAAAATGGAGACAACAACCACCATCACAAAGGTCTGTTGTAAGAGTCAAAGAGATGATGGAGTGAGGGATGGGATTCTCATTCAGTCCTGTTTCTCCCTCTGCCCCCACTCCCACCCCCATGCATTCTGTTGACTACTGACATATCTGTGAATTTACATTTAGAGGAATCGCACAGCAAAGTCAAATGCCTTTGGAAGATACTATGTAGTATGGTGGCTAAGAAGACCATAAGCAACGCAAGCAGAGGAGCTACTGTTGGAATTTCTGCTCTCTCACTCACTGCTACATTCTCCTCTGAGCCTCAGTTTCCTCTGCTGTGAAATGGGGGTAACAGGAAGGTGTTACCAAATATGACAGTCAGAAGAGGTAAGCAATGCATGTGATATACCTAGCACACAGTAAACACTCCATTAGTGACAAACCACATTATTATTGTTATTTTTACCCACGCCTGGCAGCACAGAGACATGGCAGGAGGGTGGAAAATATCATGCAAATATAAAGCATTAGTAATAATGTTACTATTCTCTGTACTTATTTAAGAGAGCCTTTAGCAGCCAAGTTAGTCCTGACAATAAACACTCCTCTCTTCGCCTATGGAGTATTACTATACATTACTCATGGTTGTCCGTGACCAGCCCACCTTCCTCCTCTCAGCCAGCATCCTCTGGCCAGGGCACCTCGTGATGCTTGGCTTGCAATGGTTTGGCAAGAAAAATGAGCGTGGCCTATAGGTCTATGGCAATGGTTCTTGACCTTGGCTGTACTCTGTAATTACCTGGGAGCTTTAAAAACTCCTGATGCCCGGTACCCCAAGTCTGGATGCTCATTTGATGGGTCTGGGGTGTGGCCTAGGATCTGGGAGGTTTCAGAGCTTTCCTGCTGGTTCTAACATGCAGCCTGGGTGGAGAGGCACCTCCCTCATCTACAAGATGAGGAAGATAAGCTCTAGAGGACTCCCTACTAGTTTATACACAGAGAATTCCTTCTCTGATCTCCACCCCAAAGGGGGCCCACGGGGAATCTAACTTAGAAAGTAAAAGCGTCTGCTCCCAAAAGCAATAAAACCTCATATGAACTCTAAAGCAACAAACCAAATCCTTGATTAGTGGAAATATTTTTTGTTCCTCTTTACGAAAACAAATGAAAGCAGTTCAGCCTCAGGAATTTAAAGAGTGACTTCCAGGGTTCGTCCTGGCCACTGGGAGTCCATCTCTCCTCGCCCCCATGAGCACCCAGTGGTTATGGAGCGTCCGGTGACACAGTGAGAATCCATAGGTACCCCATCTTTTATACAAACCTTACACTCCAGTTACTAAAGACAGGCATACTAGAATGGTGCGTTTTAAGATGCAACATCAAAGATTAAAACCAAAAAGAGATTTCTAGTTAATCAGATATCCGAATCTCTGAACCATCCCTCACATCCCAGACCCAATTATTGAGTTTGGTTCAAAGGGAATTCCAGGCCCCTATAAGGCTGTGTTTTTTAGGATTATGCAGAACAAACCAAGCAGGCCTCTGCCTACTCTGTTGACGCTGGAGATACTAGTGGCTCTTGAAGGCAGCTGGCCCTTGCTTGCTGGCTCATCTGTGGCCAGAGTGGCCTGACTGGACAGGTGTGATTTGGGCCACAGGTGATGGGGCCAGAGGCAGGAGCTGAGAGCTTAGGGAGGGTTAGCATCACGTCAGGCTCCGCTGAGAGCCTGCTGTGCCCATGGGCAAAAAAATGATCAAGCTGCTGGTATCAATTCCCAAACTCATGCCAGTTGCTTACACTCATTTCACCTGCACACCCTCCTAGCCTTGACTTCGGGGCAGTTTCTTACTCAGCCTCTGAGGCCCAGCCCAAAGCCTCCACCGCAGGCCTGATCAGCCACATCACCCTCTGCGTAGCTCCTGTACACAGCTCGGTATTAACAGAGCACTCCTGGGATGAGTCTGAGCTGCTTACAGCAGTCCCCCCACAGCTCTGTGCCCCAGTGGCTCCACCTCGAGTTTACCCCACTGTCTGGCCCAGCGCCATGGGTGAGAGGCCACTCATGCTTGCTGAGTGAGTGGTCACAGGAGCCGGCTGGCAACTTGGGTGGATGGCAGAGTTAGAGAGTTTCGGAGAGAAGGAGGGGGAGTCGCATTTCAGGAGTCCCCTGAGCATTCCAGGAACAAGGGCATGAGACGCTGATGCAGGGAGAGGCACCGAGGAAGGCTAGGGACACCTCCACGGGCTCGGGTTCTTATGGGCCACACTCGCTTCCTTTATAAGTACCTGCGATCGACACATGGATCTCATGGAACCACGTAGTAATGAGGTCTACCCTTGATTTAATACAACAGAAAGGTGACAGGCAACTGGCAGAGGCAGAGAAGGGGAGGAAAGACAGAAAGAGAAATGGAGGCAGAGACGGAGAGGCAGAGAAAGACAGAGAGATACACAGAGAGGGTGACACACACACACACACACACACACACACACTTGATTTAATACAACAGAAAGGTGACAGGCAACTGGCAGAGGCAGAGAAGGGGAGGAAAGACAGAAAGAGAAATGGAGGCAGAGACGGAGAGGCAGAGAAAGACAGAGAGATACGCGGAAACGGTGTCTCTCTCATACACACACACACACACACACACACACACGCACATGCACACACACAGAACGGCATCTTTTCTGGGGATCTTTGGATGGACAGCAGCCACTTACCAGTTCCTTCTTAAGCCAGGCGATAGCTTCATCGATATTCTCAAAGCCTTCCAGCTTGCCAGTGGCCCGGGTCACGTCGTCCTGGCTGGCGCTTTCATTAGGTAGGGGATGCTGCCTGAGTTCTCTCAGGGGGCGTGAGGGCTCTCTGTCCTCACACTCTCCCTGCTCAGCAGCCAGCCTCGGGAAGGGCCATGCCTGCTCCTCCAGCCTGGCCTGCCATTCCAGGTAGGATGGCCTGCGGGTCTCCAGCCTCAGTTTCTCGGTGAGGGCCTTCAGGCTCCGGAGGTGGTCATCGGGAGGCGGGGCTGCTCCTGCCGGCCCTGCTCCTGCCGGCCCCTCTGCCCCCACCACCACTTCTTCTACTTGGATCTGGGGCACAGACATTCTAGAGTATGCCAGGGCAGCCAGACATGGGAGGCGGTGGGCTGGCGTGGGAATCTTGGTGGGTGGCAAGGTTGGGTCCCGCTCTGGAGTCGTCTCACCCAGCTGGGGCCAAGGCTCCCGAGGGCATCGCTGGGACAGAAGCAGCTCCTGGAGCAGGCAGGACGATGGACGAGCCACACAGAGTGCCGTCTCGAGCAGCCGCGGAGCTCTGGGGTTAAGATTCTTCCCCGAGTCCTGTGGGCACCATGCTTCACAAAAGGCAGGAACAGACAAGCGTTAGCAGGAATCTTGGGGGCAGCTTTGCCAAGAAGCTGTATCAGTCCTGGAGATGCAGGCAGATCAGAGAATGGCGGGGAAGTGAGGCCGAGCCCCTCTCCTCATGGAAAACGGGGGGCGGGAAGCTGCTGGCTCGTGCAGGCCCTGCGGGAAGGATTCGAGGTCATTACCCATCTCTCCTTGCGTGAGGCCTGCGTGCTCCTGAGCTCCCCGGGAGGGGAAACTGAGGCTCAGAGAGGTTCAGTAACAGGGCTGCTAATTGCTACTTCAAAACTAGAAGTGAGGTGTGTTCAGCTCCTTAACTTGATGCAGGGAAGTTAACAATAAATCAATACTTTGTACAGCGTTTCACCACATATGAAATGATTCCACCTCCGTTATCTCATTTAATCCTCACTGCAAGTCTGTAGTTACCTGCTTTTGTCCCCATTTGATACTCAAGAAACCCGAGTTTCCCAGAAGTAAATGACTCACCGGAAAGCTCCCAGAGGTTAGCAAGGACAAGGCCAGGCCGTCTGCTTCGGAGGGCTCAGGTCTCTCTAAGCAGCGGCTGCCTGTGGGTCCCCACGTCGACACAGGTGTGCTGCTGAGTCCAGGGAACGCCCACCCCCCTCCCCGCCCACGCAGCACCTGCGCTCAGGCACCCACCAGCTCTTCAAGGCCAGTCTTACTGCTCCTCTCAGCTGCTTTCTCCAAGAACAACACCTTACCTCACCGCGTCAGAGGAGGAAGCAGATAAACCTGCCACAGCTTAAGGAAGAGCCGACTGCCCTCAAGGTGGGTTGTTAAAACGAGCGAGGCGGTGACTCACCGCTCTAGAAAGACGGTTCTCACATTCACTCAGAATGCCAACACGACAGTGCCTCCCAGGCAAGGGCTTCAGCTCTCGGATCTGGTTTGGTCTCCCCACCTCTAAGGAAGGTGTTTGAGCCAAGGTGCTTGCCCCAGAATGTCAGGGCGCAGGGTAAGGAAGTAACTCGAAGTTAGAACGAGGCTCCGTTGGCCCCAGAGCCTCTATGCCCACAGGGCCTTTGGGGGCAGTTTTGGGGCAGGGTACATCAGAGCAGGAGACCTCTGACTTGGAATGGGGAAAGAAGTTTTTGGTTTTCAGAGTACGTTTTAAAAATCCGTGCTGAGGGCATGCAGTTGTGAAAAAGAATGAAGTGATCTGGAGCGATGTCCAAGCTGAAGCTCACGTACAGAGAAAGAGAGGTGTAGCCTAGAAGATATGCCACTACCGGTGTGGAAAAGGAGAGGAAGGAAGAGAGAGTTTTATTTATTTGTATGTACCTAAAAATACCTCTGCAGGGAGAAAAACTGAAACTAAGAGTCGTGATTGCGTGTCTGGGCTAATGGGAAATGGCCATCGGGGGATGGTTAGCAGGCAGAGGAGGAGGCAGAGAATTGGAGGGCTGTGCAAAATCAAAACGGAGGCCGGGCCACCCGGGGAGGAAGGGTGCTTCCTCTCTAACCTCAGCGTGGAGATGCTCGGGAAGAGCAGAGCTTGCTGTCTGTTCCAGATGTTTCTACAGTGCCCACCTGCAGTGCAATCTGACCAGAGGCAGGATGGCCGCGCTTCCCCGTGCTCTGATGCCCCTGCTGTAGGGCATCCCTGAGGAACGAGAAGGGATATTCCATCCCAACTGATGGCAGAGAAACCTAGATATCCAGCCACATAGGTGAGAATCCCTGAGGGATTTCCACAGACGTGGGTTGCCGGGCCCCAGACCCAGGGGTTCTAATTCAGTTAATCCGGGGTGAGACTCGGGCACTGGTGTATTTTTAAAGCTCCTCAGGGGGTCTCAGTGAGCAGCTAGGATTGAGAGCCTCTAGTTTTGAGATAGGAACACTAGACGTGGGGTCAGGTGGCCTTAGCTGTGGGTGCTCTCAGGCTAGCTGAGCCTGTTTCCTCGCCTGTAAAATGGGGTCGTAATACCAACCTCCTAGGCAGAACTAAGGTTTGTCCACACTCTCTGTAGGCTCGGCATGCTCCGCAAAGGTGGGGTGTTCTCATGGGTGTCTTTCTGTGCAGTCTCGTGGTCACACAGGCTTCTTTAGAATCTCCCTAAATCTATTAGCCGCTTCCCGGGGCCCCTCCTGTGTGCCATCTGCCTCTATGCTGAGGTGACAGAATCTGTTCTGAGTGCGCTTTGGGGCAGCTTTACCTGTAGGGCTTCTTCCCACTCTGACTGGTTTCAGTGAAGCTTTTTGGAGGGGGTCTAATCGTAGAGGCTCTGGTCCCCTTTGTCTCCCCCTGCTGCACACTCACCGCAGGGGGCAGGGCCATCTGTGGCTGGAGGGAGTCTTCCCTGTGGGGTGGGCAACAGCCACAACTTGAGGACTTTACAGGAAGGGAGCTTATTTTAATTGCTGGTTTCTTAATCCTTTTGGAGAAGGCCCATGAAGACGGTGTCAGGATGACTTGGAGGCATTAACAGAAGCGCCAGTGTGCTGTGAGTCACTTAATGATCCTTTGATCCGTGGAGCTTTAGGGAGTGTGTAAAAGCACCCGTATGCACTTGCTGCTCCTCCCAGTAGTCCTGAGGAGCAGGTGGGGTCACCTCATTTCACAGATGAGAACATCGAGGCTGGGAGGGATGAAGGGACTCCCTCGTGGCCATAGGCAGATGCCAGGAGTGGGACTGGGGCACAGTGTCTTCTGACTCTGGTCAGCCTCTCTCTGCTCCAGAGGGTGTGGGGTCAGCCCCCCGGGGCACCCAGTCCTCTGATTGTGGGCATGTCAGATCATGACCACTCTGCGCTTCTGCATCCTCTCCTGAGAAGCGCGGGTCACCGGGACTGGCTATATAATTTTCTGGGCTTGGAGCAAAATGAGGGTACAAAGCTCCTTGTTACAAAGAACTAAGAGTTCCAAAGTGGCAACAGCAGCATTAACCCAAGTGTGGGGCCCTGTGGGACTGCCTGGGCCCCTCGCTCATGAAGCTGGCCCTGGGGGGGATGCTGTCAACTTCACAGGTCATCGTGAGGATTAAAGTAACAAATATCAAGCCCTCGACACGGTGCCAGGCATGCAGTGAGCCCTAGACAAAGTCACACTTAAAAAAACATTATTCTTAAGACGATAAGACCTATTAGTGCCACGTCAGTCACGTCACCAGAGGGGCGGGCCCCTTTTGGCTGCACTGAGCAGCTATCCTGTTAGTCCCTGACCTGCTGGGTGGCCTGAGCCAATCTCTGTACCTTTCATCCTTCCCTGGAGGCCAACCGAGATGCAGTCGGCTGGCCCCACCTCCCCCCAGATTTTCAGGTCTCAACTGCATTTTCATCATGCCACAACTAGCAGGTCTGCCATAGGAAGCAGAAAAACAGCCCAGCTTACAAAAACACCACAATATACCCACTCCCTTGCCTCCCTGCTCACATTTTAAACACCCCTTTCCATGGCCGAGGGCCCCGGGGTGGCCCAGGTTTGACAGTGTGTTATCCGCACGGTGAGGCAAAGGGCCAAGACCAAATGCCTTGATTCTGGCCCCAGCTCTGTTATGGACGAGCCGAGTACCCAGGATCAGCCCCCTCCTCTTAGCCTTGGTTTTCTAATCTGCGTACCCCACCCCGACCCCCATCTGCCTCATAAGGATGCTGTGAGGATCAGCTGCGCTCTTGCAACTTGAAAGCTCTCTGCAAACTGTAAAGAGCAGTACCCACCTGAGGATTATTATCATTATCAGCAAGGTGTGTGTGGAACATGGAGAGTGTCCAGTCAGGGACTCGCCACTTTAGGAGGCATGGTCCCATGTAGCAGGCAGGAACTGCCTCCCATTGTCCCCAGCATGCCTAAGTGACCAGGATTTGCTGAAGCAAGATCCATTCTCCTGGTCATCGGACAGTGTCCCAAGAAACACACTCTCTGGGTGTCCCAGTGCGTAGGAGCCCAGAGGGGTTTTTTCCCTCGCCCCCAGCTGAAATGTCACCCAAGCAGGCCACTCCAGGGATGACTGAGTTGGACCCAGTCCGAGCTAGTGGAGAAGTGCCGGCCAGGTACAGGAGGGCAGAGGACAGCACTGGACAGCTCCCTGGGCTGGAAGGGCAGTGCTTCATCTGGACGAACAAGGACTTGGAGGGTGCAGGCCCTGGGAGGAAGAGATAAGCTTTCCTTACATCTACCCCAAGTCCTTCCTGCTCGGCAGGAGTGGAGCACATTTTCTCTCACTCTGGGCTTTGCAGAGGAAGAAAGCCAGCCTGGAGCCTAGGGCATCTGGAAAACAGTCTGACCGTAATCCTACCAGGCCCAGGTGTGTCCCACCGGGCAGAACCCCCAGCCTCAGGGGGACTTGAAGCTCTGGCAGCAGGGGATCGGTCCTGGGGGCGTGTCCGCCTTTCCGCAGCAGGGATGCGCCAGCACCTGGGGACCTACAATGCACACAGAGACTGCTGTTTGAACACGCTGCCTGGCTTGCTCCAGCCCTCGGCGGCTGCCAGAAGGGAAGCAGGCCATGCCAGCCATGAGCTAACTCCTCTGGCTGCTGGAGGAGCCAGGTGGGTGCAGCTCAGTCGTTCGGCCAACACCTCATCTCATGATGACCTAATCTGTTCACCTGGACGACTCCCAAACCCACTTCCTAGATGGTCTCTGAGGGCAGGGATGGGTGCAGGGGGCTGCTGACCCATTCTCTCTCCCCACCCTCCCTCATTCTCCCCCCCACCCCGCTCTCTCCCTCTCAAGGTTAGGGGGAGTCCAGTCCCTGGCAGCACTCTCTTGTTTCCCATCACCCTGTGTTCTAGAGCACTCAGAGCCACCCCCGCTCTGCGTGGCTCCACGAGCTCGTGCCTGCTTCTTCCAGTCTTGTGTTCTTCACTAGAACTGTTTCATTTCTTCTCCATAATACACGATCTTTCCAAAACTCCTTCCTTACTAAACGTCATGCTCTCTCACACCCTGTGGCTTCGCACAAACTTCTCCCTCGGCCCTTCTCTCCTTTCTACGCCTCAGTTCTTGGGAATTTTCTCCTTCAGGAAGTTTTCCTTAACATGTCCGAGCTGTGTGTGCCTGGGATGCAACGAGACCACATCGGAGAAACAATGATGTCATCGCGACAATATTAGCTTACGCTTACTCAGACAGTGCCACGCCAGGCATTGTTCTAAGAGCTTTACACGCACTAACACATTTAATCTCCACAACAACCTTCTGAGGCAAGTATTATCCTGGTCTCCATTGCACAGATGAGGAGACTGAACCATCCCTGGTAAAGGAACAGAGTAATTGGGTAGCTTGCCCGAGGTCACAGAACAAAGTGGTAAAGCTGGGGTTTGATCCCCTACAAACTGGCTCCAGCCTGGCTCATAGCCACTAAGCTCACTGACCCTCTTAAGCCATAGCACTTCTACCAGGGACTTTCCTGATGGTCTCCTCTACTCAGATTCTGAGCTTCATGAGGGTGAAAGCTGGGCTTTGTATCCTGGAACCTCCAGCACTTAGCGCCATGCTGCTCTCTTTAAGTGTTCATGGGATGAATGAGCAAATAGAACAGGTTTCTTCCCCACCCCCATCCACTCACCACAGCCTCAGGACTGAGGCCAGGACTGAGCCAGTCTAGAAACGATCAGAGAAGCGAAGAGAACCTGGGCTTCCTGTGATGTCACCCTCATCACCTGTCCTCATGAGACCTGCCCTGACCTCAGAGTTTAGACACAGGCCATCAGGCCCTAGGGAGGCAGAGCAGCCTCATCCTGCATCCAGTGCCAGGGCTGGGAGCTGGCGCAGAGACAGCAATCCAGCATCACGGGGATAGCTCGGGGACCTCCTCACTGTTCAGCATCATGAGGCTATTTCCACTCAGATCCTTTCCCTCCTTCTGGGAAGAGCATTTCTTTTTCCTTTGGGGGCCCCTCCATGTGCTTGCTTCCCGTGGGACTGACCTGCCCTCTCTTGTCTCAGGGTGGTCACATGACTCAAGCTGAGCCAGTCAGAGCCCTCCTGGGTTTCTGTGCCAGAACCATCCAGAAGCCAGTGTGTTTCATGCTGGCCTGGAGCTGCTGGCTCACCATCTTCCTCACCACAGGGAAGGGTCTGCCTGACAAATGAAACCAAGCAGATGAGATAGTTAGAGGCCCTCAGTTAGGCCCTGTTGGAAGCCATCCCACCTGACCTTGATTATACAGCTTACATAGTCTCTGTTGCTTAAGCTTCTTTCAGCTGGGTTTCTGACATTTGTAACCAACATAAGCATGTGTTGGACAAAGAAATATAAAATAACACAGTGGATATTTGTTGATATTTGTCTTTTGTTTGCTTATTTGTTTGTCATTTTTAGAGAGTTCCCCGTTTTGTTCGGGACGGCAGACAGGCTGGGCACCTCTCCTCTGAAACCAAGGGATCGTATCCTCCTTCCTCCCCGGCCACCAGGTACCCTAGCAACCAGTTACAAACATGTGACTTGAGCTTGGCCAATCAGATGCCCAGGCCCAGGCCTCTGGTATGTGAGGCCAGGATGGAGTGACAGGGAAGTCATCTCAGCTAAACCATCCTTGGTAAAGTAGGGATAATATTGTAATATAATAAGACATATATAAGACATATGGGTTTCTGTCCCCAGTTCTTGACACAGAACTCCTAAAACCCTTTCAGTCTTCTAGGTGATGAGAGCGATAGAAATACTTCTTGTTATAATATCTGCTTTTTGTCCCCAGTTCTCTAAACAACTCTAGTAGGCTGACAACGACAAAAAGAGCATCTTTTATTATTCATAAGAAGCCCCTTTCAACCCCACCGGAGTTTATGTTAATGAGTTGACTTTTGGACAACCCCTCAGGATGGGGGCTGGTGGCCAGGGCAGCTAACCATGTGATTGGAGAGTTGGAACTTTCAGCCCTTCTCTGTCTCGGGGGAGAGGACAGGGGCTGGAGACTGAGTTAATCACCAATGACCAGTGATTTAACCAATTATGCCTATGAAATGAGGCCTCCAAAAAAGCCTAACTGAAAGGGTTCGGAGAGCTTCCAGGTTGGTGAACACACGGAGGTGCCAGGAGGGCAGCACGCCTGGAGGGGACAGTGCACCCCTTCCCCATGCCTCATCCCATGAACCTCTTCATCTGGCCAGTAAGTATAAGGAAATGTTTTCCTGAGTTTTGTGAGCTATTGCAAACTACTGACTCCGAAGAGGGGGATGTAGGCAATTCTTGATTTATAACCTGTCATTCAGAAATACTGGTGTGTGGAGTGGAGGACAGTCTTGTGAGACCGAGCCCTTAACTGGCGGAATCTGATGCTAGCTTTAAGCAGATAATGTCGAACTGAGTTAAATTGTAGGATACCCAGTTGGTGTCTGCAGAGAACTGGAGAATTGTTTGGTGTGAAAAACTCACACATCTGGTGTCAGAACTGTTCTGGGGGTATCGTGTGGGTAAAAACCCAGCACCCCAGCGAGATGGTCTCAGACAGATCATTTAACGTACAGGGCCTCCTGCCTCTGCGTTTTCCTAGCTGCCTGGTTCTGCCTGCTTTCTCCCCTGGGCCTTTGCCTTCGGCCGGTTCTGAACATGCCTTACAATAACGTTATTTTCTGTTGCTTACAACCAAGAGCCCTGGTTGAAATGAGGGGGAATGTATAACTTGCTTGGGGAGCAAAATATATAACTGACAGCTAAGTAGTGCCATAAAATAGCGTGACTCCACTCCCAACATTTCCATGTGTCCCATAGAGGTGGCTGGTGCCACCTCTGGTGAGAACCACAGCGTGGATAACCATCGTCCTACTAAGGAAGCTTTTACTAAGAGTCTATCTGTGTTCAAAGCTGATATGTTCCCTAATTTACAATCCACTACAGGCAACGCTTGATGAGGAAGTCATGACAATTCCCACATGTGTAAATTTACGCTTACGCTGTTCCTTCTAGTAGAAGTGCTACCCATGGGTCTTTGTGCATAAACTGACACATTCTGGTTTTAAGCTTGGGAACACACTTAGCACGCTCAACAGAGGAGCCGTCGATTGCTTTGCACACGCAAGGGAGGCCCTGCCCTCCGTCTGGGCTGGCCCTGGCCTCCAGCAGCAGAGCCATAGATAACAGACAATGGCAGGGACATGAAGCAGGAAGGGACCCTTAAGATAGCCCTTTCCCCGCAAGACCCGCCTTGTTGAGGAAATTCAGATTCTGCAGAACCTTAACCGCAGTGTAGCCAACTCTGTTGCAGAAATGGCCCCGCAGGGGAGAGACCTCAGCAGCAGGGTTCACTCCCGGGGAACAGGGCCTTGGGCTCTTTCTGCTGCTGAGCCTTCTGTCACCTCTGCTCGTTCACTCTCTGTGGGTCACCATGCTCCTGAAACAGGTCAGAGGAGTCATTCCTGAAAGCCAGTACCTCTGTTTGAGCATGCAACATGTGTCACCAAGCCCAAAACCTTCATTAGAGAGAGTCATTCCCTGAGCTCAGGAGCGCCCTGAAGACAGGCAGCATCTTCCCTGCTTCAGCCAATGCTTCAGAGGGGGGATGGTTGCAAAAAAAATAGCCGAAGCACCCACTCTGACTTCCAGTCTTAGCCAGGCCAGGCCCACCTCCCACCTCTCAGCAGAGCCACAGGGCCCAGGGGCTGTGCCCTGAGAGGAGACCACGGGCTGAGGGGCCGAGAATGAGGGCGGCCTCAGCTCCAGGGCCGGTACTCTGAGACCAGAGCCACCGCCAGCGGGAGCTGTGAGACTGGGAGTGGGGAGTCACCTCACCTCACCTGCCTGGATCTCGGCCCCCCTTTTGACAATGGGGTGTTGCGGCATCCACCCTGCAGAGCTACAGCGTGGATGAGATGAGAGAATGAGAGGAAGGGCTTGGTGGACTATAATCCCCCAAGTTTTATAAACTGAAAAAAAAATCGGGGTGGCTCGGTCTGCGCTCACACCTGAATCCTTTTCTTTCCCTTTCTAGAGCAGTGAATCCCCCTTTTCTTCTTGCGGATGTGAGGTCGGTAGGTCTGGTACGTGGACATGGAGCTGTGACAAGGCAGGCTTCTTAGTGTGGGTTTAATTACAAACACTGATGCTCATCTTAAACGGGAGCCCAGGGCCAGGACTCAGCACTGGCAGCGGCTAACGGAGGCTGTAAAATCCCCGTCTGTGTTCTGCAGACTTTCAGGAGT